ATCTTCCTGGGTGGGGTACTTTAGTTTTCTGCAAGACTCTGACATCCCATCCAGGATATTTCATGGCACACAGCCTTTGTGAAGAGTCATGCGTCATGTCCTAATGCTCCATCCAGCCTTCACCCTCCTCTGCCTTTACTAAGGCCAGTTTCAAATATTGCACCCAAGAGTTCCAATCTAGGCGAACAGACATTTCAGCCACTGCCTCCCTGGCACAGGGCCTCCGTGGTATGGCCCATACTCTTTCTGGAAGCAGGTGTATGTCCTTAGCTGCCATGAAGGGGGTGGCAGGAGACAGTGGTGGCTCTTTGACCCGCTGTCTGTCTGCGGTCACTCCCCCAGCCCCTAACCAGTGGGCCTACGTGCTGGCCGGGAGATTACAGAGGTTGCCGTTTACAAAACGTACTTTCCTGAGCTCTGATCTTGATGAAATCAGCAAGCTTTTCAAGGTCTTGCATGGCAAGCGACAGGCATCATCACCTCTCTGGCAAGCTGCCTGCCTTCACCCCCCATGTCTCCAAGATTGCACTCTTGTACTGCCCAGGCTATTTATATCTAATAGTCTGAGTATTCGAATTGCTTAATTTGTTTGAATTGTATTGATGTATTTTATCGACGGCCACAATTTTGAACCATTCAGGGCTCGGACAGGGATAAAGAACGGGAGAACTACCTCGGCTGAAATCCTGCGACGCAGTGATACAAAAGGTGTAACTTTTAGTGGTGGTTCTGGCAAAAGGCCATTAAGACACCTCCCTCGACGTTATCTATTGTCACACAACTTGATGTGCAACAGATAATGGCGACAGAGATTTCTTACCTTTTGCATAACTGCATCAGACTGAAATATTAGACTGTTTTTAATTAGAGTGAAATACGAGAAATCTAGTAGCCATTCTAGGTCTGTAATCCAGGACAGGGATCTATACGTTCCTGAAAAGGATGAAAGAAAAATCCACTCTCCCATGCTGAAAACGAAATGCTCGGCCTCTAGGTTAATGTCCCAGAGTGTAACCAAGATTTTCAGAATCCACCAGGCAACATGTCCAGTAGCTGAGCTAATTGGGGGATTTTTGGAACTGTAATCCCCAAACCTAGCATCCCCATGCTCCAGAAGGTCCACGAGGAGGCTGTATCTATGTTATGGGCTTCCGAGTCGCATTTGATTTGTAGCAACCCTAGGAGGGCTTTCAAAGTAAGGGAGGTACTGCTGGAGCGGTTAAATTGCAGTACTGCAGTGAAGACTCTGTTCACAACCTGAGTTCAACCCAAGCGCAGGTAACCAGCTTGGGGAGGGGGCAATGTGTAGCCTGCATAATTAAACTGTAAAACGCCTACAGACTGTTTTAAGCACTATGGGTCAGTATATAAGTAGCACACGTTGAGATATTTAAAGAGTGGTTTACACAGTTCCAATGTTCTCTTCCCAGAGGGTTTCCATGACTGAGCAAGGATTCTACCCCAGGTCCAGTCCAGCACTCTAGCCACTACACCCACACTGAGTACTCAAGAGGATGTTGTGGCTGGTTGTTGTGGGGTTTTCGGGCTTTTTGGCCGTGTTCTGATGGTTGTTCTTCCTAACTTTTCGCCAGTCTCTGTGGGCGGCATCTTCAGAGGATAGCACTCTGTCCTCTGAAGATGCCCACTACAGAGACTGGCGAAATGTTAGGAAGAACAACCTTCAGAACATGGCCAAAGAGCCCGAAAAACCCATAAGTATCAGTAGATCCCGGCCATGAAAGCCTTTGTGAATATGATGTTGTGGCTACTTAAAAATGGGCATACAGTGGTGCCTCACTTAACGGGCACTCCGTTTGACGACGAAATCGCTAGACGTTGGTGTTTTTGCGATCGCAAAAGCGATTGCAAAATGATGTTCCCTATGGGGGAATTTCGCTTTGCGATGATTGGTTCCCTGCTTCGGGAACCGATCATCGCAAAGCGATGATTTTCGTCCAGCTGATCAAAATGGCCATCGGGTAAACCAAATGGCTGCCCGCTCTTTTCTGGCACGGATTCCTCACTGCACAGGCAGCGAAAATGGTCGCGCTATGGAGGATCGTCAATGGACGGTGAGTTTCAAGCCCCTAGGACCGCATTAATCAGGTTTTAATGCGTTTCTATGGGCTTTTTAAAATCGCATTGCGACGTTTTCGTTTTACAGCGATTTCGCTGGAACGAATTAACGTCATAATGCGAGGCACCACTGTATTTCCCCCCCCTCCCCAGTTTGTAACTGAAAAGTTAAAAAGAAAGCGAGCTTCGGAGTTCTCCAAAACCCTTCTTCCGAATTAACGTCATAATGCGAGACACCACTTCCCACCACTCCCCAGTTTCTAACTGAAAAGTTAAAAAGCAAGCAAGCTTCGGAGTTCTCCAAAACCCTTCTTTGGGCCTTGATGAAAGTTTGATGACGGTGTGGGTCACAAAGTGATGAAAATCTAACCAGATAGAATGGCGATAAACTGGATGATGCTGATTGCAAGATGGAGGTTTTGTGAAAAATAATGGTGTCAAAGGTTTATAGTTCCTCCGTCTCTGTGTAAAGTGAAACCCAGCTGTGATCCCTGTAGATCTCCCCATTCCCTTGTTTTGCAAATTTATGGCAATCCGGTCAGTGCATTACTCAAGCCATGTTGACTTCTCTCGCGGATTGCATGAATGCATTTCCCTCTGGTTTGACATGATGTTGCACAGTAAAGCACTACGTACAAAGATTGCGGTATTTTGATGGCAAGGACAACAGCTAAACGAACCGGAGGGGAGAAAGGTAAATTCTGATGTCCTGGAGGAGCTCATCCTGACCATTTAGATAGTCAAGCGCCCTGCTTGAAAATACAGGCAGCTGTGCTGAGCCATGTCAACAGAACCATGCTATCATCTTTCCCTTCCTCCCTGGTTGTTGTTGTTTTGTAAAAGTAATAGCTCTTAATTGCCCGACCAAGATGAAGCCGTTCCCAGATGTACTTTGCTTTAGGCGTAGGAGAGCTCACGGCACTGTGCAGATTATGGCAAACCCACTCCCTGGTTACTGAAATGCAGAAGGAACTAGGGCTGGTATATAATTTTGCTTCCCCTGATGATCAGACCCTCTTGTACCCACATGTGCTTTGGCCCCGCAAGCATCAGTGGCTTGGGATCTGCGTTCCCCAAAAATTTTGGAATGAGTTTCCCCATCTGCAAGGCCAATGCAGTAAGAGCACCAACAGTAATGACCATCATCATCATCATCATGGCCTCCCAGCTGTTTGTAGGGAGGAGAGCGGCCTCAGTTAAGGGCTTATCTATTTGCACACGTATTTTCTTGATACTTACAGTTACCAGCGACTCTGTACAAGTGTGTGTGAAAGAGAGTCCGTGAATTGGTTTTAATAGATTTGATTGCATCTAACTATCAGCTTTATTAGTTGGAAACTACTTGGTGATTTTCCAAATGGAAAGTGACATGAAATGCTTATAAGTTGGAGGAATCATCATCACCACTGTCGGGGGCTTGTGACTGCTGCAGGATGGGTGGGGGGCGAGGCTGGATTACCACCTTTCCTCTATTCACATTATTATGATTATTATTATCGAAGGGTCAAGACTACGACTGTCCATTTCTATGATAGCCTTGATGACAAGCTACGGGTGTGAAAGCAGAGAGGGTGGAAAAAGTGATTTGTTTCAAAACTGTGGTGCCGGAGGAGAGCTTTGGGGATGCCCTGGCCTGGAACAAGGGGTGTGTGTGTGTGTCCTAGAGCAAGTCAAGCCTGAACTCTCTCTGGAGGCGAAAATGTAGCCGCTGAACCTGTCCTGCTTTAAGCACATCTTGAGAACGCAGGATTCTCTGGGAAAGACCAGAAGGTAGGGAAAGGTGGAAAGCAGCAGGAAAAGAGGCGACGAGAGACTGAATCCATAAAGGAAGCCAAGGATGCCGGAACGCTCAGGGGTTTCAGGCGCTGGCTGCAGAGCCAGAGGGTTGGGAGTTCGATTCCCCCCACGGGCCCTCCTTTGACAGATGCTGGATGTGATGTTCCATAGGGTTCCTTCCAGCTCTGCCATTCTAAAATGATGATGATTTATTTATTTATTTAACTTATTTGTCGCCCACTCTACCCAAAGGTCTCTGGGCGGCTTACAACAATGTAACTATGGTGGTAACCAATTCCTTTTGGGAGACTTGGAACTAAACTGTAACTGTCTGGAATTTTCCAGATCCTGAGCCGAGGTGTTCTTCCTAAAGCTTTTCCTACACCTTTAGATGCTCCCATCTCTGATGATGATGATTTGCGTCTGCAGTAGAGGAGCAGAGAGAGCGGTTGGCCACAGAGGTCGGTCGTTCATAGGGTCACCGTATCTGGGAAGGGACATGAGGGCACGTCACAAGATGATGAGGATGAGGATGATGATGGAGGACGGGGAAAGGGAACCAAACGGGCGCGAGACGCCACGCACGCCGCTGCCATCCCCCCCCTTCTTTCCAGGCTTGCAAACGCCTCTCTCCGCCACGGTGCAGACGCCCGTTCAGACAACCCCCGGCCGACTCGGGTCAAGCGCTATCCCTCCCGCCTCCTCCGTGCATTTTTGCCCCAGGGATCCTGCCATCCTTCTTCCCCCCCAGATGGGGAGGGGCGAGGAGAGCCGTGGGGGGGGCAGGTGTGGCCATTGACGACCCCCCCCACCCAAGCCGTCGGCTCTCCCCACTAGGCTTTCCGCTCCGAGCCTGCCACACCCTCCCCCCCCCCTCCTGCCCCCGCCCCGCGAGCAC